AACATGCTGGCGGAGCCTTTGGCGGCGGCTCCGCCGTCGCGGACGTCGGCGACGTCGGCGCCGTCTGAGGCGGCGGACTCGGGCTCTGACTCTGACTCGCCACCGTCGGCGGGGCCTTCACTGGCACGTCCGTTGCGGCCGTCGGCGCCATCGGCGGGGCCTCCGCTGGCACCTGCGTCGCCGCGGCCGTCGGCGCTGCATTCACTGTCGCCGTCGGCGCCGCCTTCGCTGGCACCGACGCTGGCGCCGAGAAGGTCACAACCTTCGCCGCCTTCTCGGCCGTCGGCGCCGTCTTCGGCGGGGGCGGCGGGGTCGGCGCCGTCTTCGGCGGGGGCGGCGGGGCCTCCAATGGCGCAGGCGTGGGCGGCGGCTGCGGCGGCGGCGCCTTCTTGGGCGGCGGGCCAGCCGACGTCGTCGATGGCGCCGCCTGCGTCGTTGGCGCCGCCTTCGCTGGCGTCGACGACTCCGACGACGGCCGAGTCGAAGGAGGCGAAGCCGTCCGCTCCCGTGGGGGCGCCGGCAGCGCAGGAGACAGGCGCGTTGGAGTCGACATCGGGGGCATCGTCTTCCAATTCGACGGATGCCGCGGGTTCTCGTGCTCCGCCGCGGCCGCGCTGCTGGACACTGGAGGCGCCGCCGCGCTGCTGGGCACCGTAGGCGCCGTAGGCGCCGCCGCGCTGCCGGGTGCCGGAGGCGCCGCCGCGCTGCTGGGCACCGGAGGCGCCGTCGCGCTGCTGGGCACCGTAGCCGCCGCCGCGCTGCTGGGCGCCGTAGGCGCCGCCGCGCTGCTGGGCACCACCGTAGGCACAAGAGGCGCCTCCGCGCCGCTGGGGCCGTAAAAGAGAGCCACTGGGCGCGGAAGAGGATCCGTCGCCGCTGCTGGCTCTACGAGCGGCGGCGGCGACGGAGGCGGCGGCCACGCGAAGTCCTGCGTAGTCGTAGGCGAAGGCGGCGTCGATGCCGTCGGAGGCGTCGAAGTACGAGTCGTCGACGTCGGAGCCGCGCCCGCAGGCGGCGCCGACGGCGCCGCGGCCGCCGCGGCCGCAGGTGCTGGAAGCGGCGGCAGACGGAAGGGGATCTGCACCGCGGTGGTCTGCGCGAGGTGGTCGACCCAGACCAGGACGCCCGACATCGGATCCCGGAAGTGAGCATATCGAGGCTCATGAGCAGGAGGAGAAGGCGGAGGCTGCCAAGCCGCCTGCTGAGATGGCGGGGGCGGCTGATTCGGCATCATCGGGGCGCTGCTGCGTGGGGAAGTCGCGTCAGGATACTGCACGTCTAACCTCTAAACCCGCTTGGGCCCAAATGGCTACGGAGGGACGGGAATCGAATCGACGGTGCAATCTATTTTGCGCAACCTATGTGGCACAATCGACGGTGTCGATTGGGCTAGCTATGTGGTGCAATCGATGGATGGTGCAGTCGATGGTGCAGCCTATGTGGCACATGTGGTGCAATCGATGGTGCAATTTATACGGTGATGCAATCTACGCGGTGCAATCGATGGCGCAATCGATGGTATCGATTGGGCAGTCTAAGTGGTGCAATCGACGGTGCAATCTATATGGTGCAATCTATGTGGTGCAACCGATGGTGCAATCGATGGTATCGGGCAATCTATGTGGTGCAATATATGCGGTGCAATTAATCTTGACCGTCTTGAAGCTGTCCTCTCCACTGCTCGTGCAAACATCCCACCCTCCCACCCGCAACTTGGTCGCAAGACCTCTTCAGACAAGACCGTGACGGTAGGTACCACATGGCACTTGGCCACGACACCGATGCCGACGACGACAGCGACATCGACGACGACGGCGCCGCCGACAGCGACTGCGACGACACCGACGACGTCTCCAATGTTTTCGACGACGACGACGACGACGACGACGACGACGACGACGACGACGGCGACAACGACGACAACGACGACGGCGACGACGCCAACGACGAAGAAGGAGGAAGGACGGCGACGCCGACGACGACAACGACGAGGGAGGAGGGAAGACGACGACGATGACAACGACGACGAAGACGACGACGACGGCGACGAAATGAAAGGACGACGACGAGACGCCGACGACGGACGACGACGACGAGGGAGGAGGATAACGACGAGGGAGGAGTGAAGACACGACGACGACGACGACGACGACGACGGCGACGAAATAGGAGGGACAACGACGAGACGCCGACGAAGACAACGAGGGAGGAAGGACGACCACGGCGACAACGACGACGGAAACGACGACGACGCCAAGACGACGACAACGACGACGAGGAAAGACAGAAGACGACGACGGCGACGACGACGACGACGACGAGGGAGGAGGGAGGACGACGACGACGACGACGACGCAAGAGCGCGCGCGCACGCTTTTGTTGAAAATCCGTGTTGCGAAACCTTGGGTTCTTGTAGGTTTTTTGGACGCACGATTTTGAAATCCTTCTGAAACCTATGGTTTTTGAAGGATTTCGGCATACGCCCGCGACGACGCGCGCGTCTGCACTTCGTCCCATTTTTTGCAAAGGATTCTCGCGACGGCACACGCGCAAGGGCGTTCGACAGATTTCGACGTGCGCGCGCGCGAAGCCCGTTTGGTAGCATTTTGTGAAAATCTTGGAAAACCTATGGTTTTCTTAAGATTTCGCAAGACCTCACGCGGAAGTTTTTTTAGCAAATCGGTGTTGCGAAACCATGTGTTTTTGTATGTTTTTCGGAAACTCGATTGCGAAATCCTTCCGGCACCGAAGGTTTTTGAAGGATTTCGGCATGCGCGCGCGACGACGCGCGCGTGTGCACTTCGCATTTTTTTTGCAAGGGATTCGCGAAAAAGTGTGATGTTAGAACAACAAATGTCACCGCATAGTGTTTTTTACAAGGGACCCGCAGGGGGGGGAACCCGGCTTGGCTGGGATGGTATGAATTCGTATTTAGGATGGACATGTGGTCAGAATCATATGTAATTTGCAGCACGCGCGGGGTAACCGATAAGTCCGGGGGGGTAGAATCTATTAGTCTTTCAGAAAGGAGAATCGATGGTGCAATCTATGTGGAGGAGGGGGAATGGACCAAAGGATCAAGGATCAGGAGAGGGAGGGCGGAGGCAGGACAGGGCGAGCGAGCGAGCGAGCGAGAGAGAGAGAGAGAGCGGGAGGGAGGGGAGATAAGGGATAGAGTGAACAATAAGGAAGGGTGGAGAAAAATAAAGCAAAGCGGCGGCGGTCCGACAAGCACACCACGATCACGTCACTGCAGATGTCGATGATCTCGATCAAGCTGAACCTGCATCGCAACAGCGCCCTGCCAGTGGCAGGGTCCAAGCCCGCGCGCGCGGGCACTGGGGAGGAGTGCCGAGCGGCGGACGCGGCCAAAATGGCTTCCATCTCGGGCCACAGGCCCTGCAGGGAAGCAGGAGAGTATTGGAGGGACGGCAGGGGAGTGGTATGTCATTCACGGCTGGATTCGCCTCGGAGTCCAGGTCAGAACGCACCCCGGGAGCTGGGTTCGCCTCGGAGTCCTGGTCAGAACGCACCCTGGGAGAGTGCCCTCTCCTCCTCCTCCTCCTCCTCTCCTCCTCCCCCCTCCCCTCCTCCTCTCAACCTCCTCCCTCGCCTCAACCACCCTTCCCGCGTGGCAAGCAAGCAAGCGCGTGGCCAGCAAGCGTGCGCGGGAAAGAGAAACCGCAGGGGCCGACGACGACGACGACAACGACGACGACGCCACGGCGACGGCCGCGGCCACGGCCAACCGCGGCGACGGCGACGGCGACGGCGACAGCGGCGGCGTCGGCGACGACAACCGACGACGCCGACGACGGCGGCAGCGGCGACGGCGGATTCGGCGGACGGACGGGGGAGGGGGAGGAGGAGGAAGAGGAGGAGGGGGGGAGGACGAGGAGGAGAATGTTTAAGCTTGCTGTAGCGCCAGGCGCGCGGTATGCAACCGAACAATTGCCCCCGAACCGTCCCGAGAAACTCCAAACCTCCATATCGAATTGGTCCCGAACGACCCGAACAACTCCAAAACCTTGGACCCGAACGGCCCGAACAACTCCAAAACCTCATAGCGAAGTGGCCCGAACTGGGGCCCATCACTCCCAACGTCGCCGTTTGGACCAGTTCTACTTTGCAATTTCCCCCTGCTACTCTTTACCTCCCCAGGTGCGACAGGGAGGAGTGAGTCATTCATAAGGAAAAAGATGGAGGAGCGATTGATAGAGATTAGGAGGCATCAAACGGACAGGTGGCAGGAGGCAGGAGTAGAACGAGTGGGAAGAGTAGCAAGAAGAGACAGAGAGACTGGGAGGAGAAGGAGAAGGAAGAGCGAGAGGATGGTAAGGGAGGAGAAGGAGGAGGAGGAGGAGGAGGAGGAGGAGGAGGAGGAGGAGGAGGAGCGCGTGGAGGAGGAGAAGGAGGAGCAGCAGCAGCAGCAGCAGCCAGAGGGGAGAGGGCGAGGATAGGGGGCGAAGAAGGGCGAGGGCGAGGAGGCCGAGAGCGGGCAGGAGAGGGGGCGCAGAGCGCGCTGGTCGCACAGGACGAGGGACCGGAGGCGGGGGAGGAGGCAGCAGCAGGGGTCGTTGAGCAAGGGCGCCCTCGAGGGCGCGAAGTTATTCGCGCTGAGCGCGAAGTTATTCGCACTTCGCGCTTCGCGCAGCGCGCAGCGCGAAGCTGGGAGCCCTTGTAAAGGGCTTAACGACTTCTGCCGTCCTTCGACTCGCGCTGGGGCGGCCACGGTTTGCTCAACATCTCCTCGGAGACCTTCGGGTCTGCGTAACTCGGGCTGACCAGGGTTTGCCTGGATTCCCCTCGGCTTCCTCTGCGGTTGCCTTGACTTGTCCAGCCCGATCCCCACAAGCCGAGGGGCGAAGAGTCGTCAGCCCCTTTGGGAAAGGGAGGAGGGCCTCGAAGACGGATGCGGCAGGCCCTTCGTGGTGCAGGCGAGCGAGCGCCCCGCGCGCCACCGACCGCACGCAGAGATATCGCCGCCGCCGGCCCGCCTCAGGGCGCCAGCCGCGCCCGCTGCTGGCCTCGCTGCCGGCGGGGGGCCATGGCGGCGGCCTCACACTGATTTCGGGGGCCCGTAGAGGGGTGGGGGTGATTCCAGGGTGGGCTGTTCGAGCCGCACGGGCGGCACAAGCATGGTGTCTCGGAGGCCCTCGGGGAGGTCTCGGATCGGCGCTGGGCCCCCCTGGCGGCGCCTCCGATGCCGTCCCTGGCGCGCTCCACGCGCCGGGGGTTTGGGTCCACCTCGGATCCGAGGAACTCTTGCGGGCCTCCGAGAGATCACGCTTGTGTCATCGTTTGTTCCTCCACTTGGGGAGCGAAACCACCTGGATGCTCGCCTTTCCGTTGTCCAGGGGCCACTCAGGGCGGCTTTCTTCTGAACTAACCCTGTGCCCTTGCACCACCTTTATGTCCCCCCGATGATGCATGACCCGCTGTCTGCATGGGAGGCTGGGCCGCGCGGGGCGATCGGTCCTTCGTGGCATGTGTCCTCGATTTCGTCCTCGTGGGGCCCGTTTTCGGGTCCCGGGGCCATCAGGAACGGATACCGTCCAGCCGCATAGCAAGGATGGGCAACCTTCCTGAGGGTAACCTTGCATCCTGGCCTCCTCGCTCCATCCTTAACCACTTTCGTTGGCCGCGCCCAGCTCGAGAAGATTCGGAATGGGCGTCCAGGGCCCTTGCATCCTTATCGCGCATCCTTATGATGTGGGCCGACTGTGTGGGACGAAGAAGTGCCCCCAGGGGGGAGGTCAGGACTTGTGGGTCCGCACGATGAACAAATCGCGTCGCCCGATTCCCGGGAAGGCGAGGAGGCGGAGGGAGGGGGGGAAGTCGGCGCGGCTATGGGGGTAAGCGGGGACGGGTGCGGGGAGGGGAGGGCTCTACCTGAACGGCCACGCCTTCCTGCGCTACAGCACAAATGTGGCAGCTCGGACGGTGGCCTTTTACATAAACGTTGAGAGAGGGTGGGGCAACCCTTTCAGCGCCAGTATCCTTGCGGAACACGTGGATCAGCGCGAGAGCATTTGCGCCCATGAGGTCTTCAACTCCAATGCTGAGAGCAACCACCGCAGCATCCATGGCGATATTGCAGAAGACGTCGAGGTGGGTGCCCGTGATATCTACTGGAATCTCGGCCTGAATGTGTAGATACCTGACTGGGGGAAGATGAGGACGAGGAGGAGGGGGAGGAGGAGGAGGGGGTCAACGCCAACGACGACACCGCGGAGGAGGAAACGGAGTCCGATGACCACGTGTGCACTTTCAGCTATGCCGAGCAGGAAGCGGATGCCCTCGTATCGGGGCCATAGAACAAAACCAGAAAAGGCTTCGAAGCACGCAACCATTATGGCTCGCAAGGCAGCTGGACAGGAGAGACCGAACTCAACGCGTTCGGCGTGCCAGTGGGCTACGCGGCAAGCTGTGACAGGCTTCCTGATTTCGGTATTATAGGTTTAGCTCAATGATCTTTTCTGTTGATCATGTCATAAGAACGAGTTTGGGAACTCGTTCGTTTCAGACGCAGTGGTCAGCTAGAGGAGACAGTACTGTCGTTTGCCGATTTGGCTCAAGGCAAAAGCATCCGCTCATCTCGCTGCTGCCACAGTTGGTAGCGGAGCGGTGGTCAGCCATGGCCGGCAGGGGTGGACCCAGGCGCCGCTAGGGCGGTGGCGCCGGGACCGCTCGAGAGGCCAGGCGACTGCCGCTCCACCGAGGACGTGCAGTGCGTGGATCCACGGCGGGCGTGAGCATGCCGGCAGACGACAACGACGGCGTCTACGCGACGATGGGCAGCACCGAGCAGCAACCGCCGACTCCGGCGGCAGCAGCTGGGCAGCCCGCGGGGTCAGGAGGACCTGCTGTCGAGCAGGGGGACCAGTTTCGCGCGCAGCTGCGCGACCTGGTCAGAGAGGTAGTGAGGGACACTATCGGCAACGCAGCAGGCTCGACAGACACGAGACCGTGTAGACAACAAGAGGAGAAGGACCCGTGGGAGGACACGGACCCCTGGAAGCGCGACAAGGATGGCTCAGATCAATGGAAGGATCAGAGCTGGCAGCAGCGAGAATGGCGATCGCGTGACCAGGGATGGCCCGGCCAGGAATGGCAAGGCCAGGAGTGGTCGTCCAACCAGTGGTCCAAGGGCGACTTCTCCGATCCTCCCTCCTGGCCCGGTTGGGCCCACTACAGACTATGGAAGAAGTCCATCCTGCGCTGGAACCAGGGCACGGATGTCCAGGTATGGCGGCGCTACGAGAAGCTGATGAAGGGGTTCGACTGGGCCATGCAGGCGAAGTTCGAGGACCTCAGTGACGACGTGATTACTGGCGGGCAGTGGCTGAATGCAGTTCTGCGCCGCATGGACGTCATGGCGGGTGAACGTGAAGGAGATGACCTCAGGCGAGCAGGAAGGCGGGCACTCTTCGAGTGTACGCGAGAGTCCAAGGAGACGCTGACGCAGTTTGTCATCAGACGTGACCAGCAGCTCGCCGAGGCAGAGACCCATGACATCGGGATGTCTACTAAGCTGAAGGGCTTTCTGCTGGAAGAAGGTGCTGGTCTGTCAGCACAAGGCCAGCAGAATCTGAGGACGCTCACTCGCGGCAGTCTCGACTACGATCAAGTGTCGTGGGCCTTGAGACAGCTAGACTACGGAAGCGGCGAGAGGCTGCTTCCAGGTAGGACAAGCTCGCATCCAGTCCTCGCCGCAGAAGTCGGCCGAGACAGCGCGGGCGGACAGATTCTCTCCCCTCCTCCCTCGTCCTACCCCCAGCAGTCGTTCCCGACGGCCAACCCCGGAGTGGACGAGACAGGAGACGACTCCTACTACGACGAAGACGTCGAGGAGGGAGACGACGACTCCGACGACCTGTCGGAGGGCGACGTGCAAGCCATTTTGGCGGAGATCGACGACCTAGACATCTCCGAGGGCGAGGCCGAGGAGGTATACATGCAGATGGAGAGACAGGTCAAGCGCACCTGGAAGCAGAATGAGGACCTGAAGCGGGCGGCCAAGCAGGACCGCGAGTACTACGGCGCTCGTCCCCGCAGCGGCGCAGGCAAGGGCCGCGGCCGCGGCAAGGGTCGAGATGCTCGGCCAGGCCGCGGCGGAGGACGACGTGAGCCAGGAGATCGAGGAGCGAGGTCCGGAGATGCACACCGCAAGAAGCTCATGAAGATAACGAAGTGTCACAACTGCAAGGAGAAAGGTCACTGGCATCGCGAGTGTCCTCATCCCCCGCGAGACCGGAAGGAGGCCTCGGCGAGCCGGGGCCTAGCGGGCTACACGTTCGATGGCTGCACCGACTACCCGGTGATCTCGCGCGACGAGCTGCAGGTTCTGCAGCGGGCGCAGGCCGAGGTCAGGACCACGGACGTTTTCCTGAACGCCGCAGTGACGCAGGGGCTGGTCGACCCAGGAGCAGGTAGTGACATTGTTGGCCTACCCTCCCTCAACCGCGAGGCCGAGGCATTGGCCAAGCAGGGGCTATGCTACGTGGAGGTACCGAGAGAGTTCAAGGCGCCCAAGAAGGCGCACGGCATCGGTGGCGAGGCGCGAGTGATTGGCACTGTGCTGTATCCACTATGTCTCGGCGGCGTCCTCGGGATTGTCGAGACGACCGTCCTGAACGAGGACGTGCCGCACATTTTGAGCGTCAACCTGCTAGACTTCCTGGGGTGTACCCTCGATCTGCCCAGGAACATACTGTCGTCTAGCAAGTTGAGGCGCGACATTCTTTTACAGAAGCTCAGTTCAGGACACCGCATGGCAGATATCGTCTGTGCGGTGTCGGGCTCTCTCCTGGCGCCGACGAGTGTGCTAGAGAAGTATCCTTTCCTGACGGCTACTTCCTTCCAGCTGTCAGCGGGCGAGCGAGCGCCCATCATGGACGCGACTGGCGACCTCAGCAGGTACATCATCGCATCGGTCTTCATCGTCGTTTCAGGTCCCAGGCGACCAGACGGAGCGGTCCCAGAGCAATTCGGAGTACGAGGGCACGGAGTTCTAGACATTGTGCCGCGGGCTCAGACGGTCTGCTCATCCTCGGTAGTTGCCTCAGGATCCCGAGTGAGTGCTAAGGCGGTGCAGAAGGACCCGACGACAGGGAAGACCGTTCGAGCCAGGAGTAGGGGCCGGGCCTCAGGGCCTTGGGAGACTCTGGAAGAGAAGGCGTCACGAAACCTGTGTCGGGTGTTCGAGCATAGAGCTAGGGACCTCCTGGTTAACGCCGCGAGGGTATGGTGCCTGATGGTCAGAACGCTCATGGTTCTATCCGTAGCCATCGGCTCGAGCTGTAGCTATCAGCGACGCTTTCAGCAGCGCAACTCTCAGCATTCGCAGTTTGTCTTCCATGTCCAAGCAGGGAGTCATGTCGGGGCTTCGTGCGGCAGTCATTGTCGGGTTGATGGCGACCGTCCAGGCGGGCCCGAAGAGGGCCACCACCGGCAAGGCAGCCCAAGCGACCGAGGAGTTCTTGGCACGCCGGAATGCAGAGTCCGACGTGTCCTCCGAGTCGTTCGACCAGGCCGCCGCAGGCCTCGACGAGGCAGACGCTGCCATGCCCCAGGCGATGCCCGGGACGTCGGGTGGCCAGCAGTTGGAGCCGCCTCCTCTCGCGGACTCAGCAGGTCCGAGCACGGCGGCTGCACCGGTGCTTCTGGCGGGGCCGTTCCAGGGGATGCACAACCCGGGCGGGGACGTCTTTCAGTACGATCACGCGGCCTTCGGCGCAGGACAAGCCGAGACTCGGAGGGCCGCCAGGACAGCAGCCGGGCCAGACCCCAACCCGGGAGCAAGGCCAGGGCCAGTGCGCTGGCAGACGGCAGCGGCAGCGATGGGGACTCATCCTGTACCACTCCCTCCTCAGGTACCTCCTGGGGCGGCCGCGGCAGCAGCAGCCATGGTACAGGCGGGAGCAACTCCTCCGCCGCCCGACGGACCTCCTCCCGAGGTGATCGCAGCGGGGATCGAGGTGCCTCCCCATGCAGTGGGATGCGGAGATGCTCCGTTGACAGGGCCAGCGGCCGGGAAGCCACCACCGAAACCAGCGCCGAAGCCATCCACCGCA